TATTATGAGTCCACAAACAAGCTTAGATGTCACACACTCAGGTTCTTTTCTATACAAGTGTACACATTTGGGGTTACATTCTGACCTTCACCCATTTATTCTTAAACTTCAAAAAGAAAAATCTACCTAACCCGGTTCAAGAAAAACCCTTGGAAAAGAACCGTGGTCAAAAGAAAAACCAAGGGGGAGGTAATACACTACCTAAAAGAAGAAAACAAAATAAAATAAAAATCCTACATGGACTACTTCCCTCAAGAGTATTATCCACCTAGTCCGTCATCAGGAAAAGTTCTCTACCAGTCGAGTTTTTTTTTTTTTAATTTTTTTTTTTATTTTGACTTTGACCCTCAAGAAACCCGTCAAAAAGTGTCCGTCGTTGGGCCAAGTCAGCTAATCCTAATATAACAAACTCACACACATACAACATATTACTCTAATGATACATCACAACAACATACATCTATATACATTACCATACACAGTCAGAGCAAGTCTCCCACCCCACACTTAAAACAATGGCATGTCCCCATGTCCTCAGAATACAGTAAAGAAAAGAAGGGTGAGAAAACTTCCCTGAAACTCAATCTGAGTCGGAGACGGTACTGGGATCTACATGGCAGGCCCTTCCCAATGCACGCAGCCAAGCCATAAACTTGTTCTACGATCTAGCATGCCGCTGTGACATGGCGTCCAACCTTGTGTGTAGACCATCCACCGAGGTGCGAAGATCTGCAACCTCTTCCTCCAATGAGCGCAATATAGGCCGGGAGGACTGGGAGCGAGATAGGTCCGCTCCAGACTGAGGGCGCCAAGAGGGTCCAGCACTGTCGACAGACCGCCTAGATTGTGCCATAGGGACCGGATCGTCCTCCTCATCATCAATCTCAATGGTAGTGCGAGTGCCCCTCCCCACTCTGATACTGGAAGCTTTGAAAGCTGCTTTTGGGGGCAAGTCACCATCAGCAGGGTTGGTAGGAGTGTTCCTCAGCAAGCATAGTGTGGTTACCAAGG